AATACTGTTAAATGGCACAAGTGGAAAAAAAGAAAGAAGTAAAACACTAACCATAAAATCTTCTGTCCTGGAAATATTTACGAATCTTGAAGAAAATGAATCATACCATCTCTTTTCATCTATTAAATGCACTTTTTCATTCTGCTCACATTTATTGTATACTACTGTGTTCAGGAGACACAAAAATGTCAAAACCATGGCCTGTGTCTCAAGAACCTTACCTTTTCCCAGAGAAGACAGAGAGTAAATAACACAAGCGCAAACTCAGAGATTCTAAGATCATGCTATATGTAAAATCCACTCCTTATAAAAGACAATATTTACCACTCTAGAGAGCTACAAAGAACCAGAATAGGGAGGAAGAACTGTATCTTATTGCCCCCAAGCTTTATTGATTAGGAACAGCTTGAACATTAAGATCACTTAGAGATAAACCAGAGGACAGATCTTTTTAATGACTTTTGACATTTCTCAAAGGCATTTCCCTGAGGTAAGGATCCTGGAGGCTTTCTACAGATTACTGACAAAGGTGGGAAGCCCCCTGTCTTCTATTTTAGCCCCTCCTGCTACTTCCTCCTTGCTTGCCCCTCCCCCATTTATTCTTACTCTCCCTCTTCCAAATGTATTGTCTGAAAAAGCCTATGCTGAAAAAGTCATTGTTGAATGTGAACGTTATTTTCCTGTTATAAATTTAAGCCCTTAGAAATCTCTGTCTCTCTCTCTCTTTTAACCAAAGAACCAACTAAACTAAGTTATTTTTATGTCCATATTGCTTTTGGCTGATTTTCTTTTGTGCGTCACAGGCTTTTAAGGGGCTCCCAACCTCAGATCCAAGATGCTCAAAAATGATTGAGTACAAAATAAAATATTCCCCTTATCCAGAGGGGGAGTCCAGGGTTCCGGCAACAGCAGCAGCAGCTGGGGGAGGAAGCCGGGATGCTGGAGCTCTAAGCAGCAAGTCTGCCTGCCCTAGGCCCAGAGTCAGCCTCATGCTTCTACTCTGCCCACCTCTGACCCAGCCAGGGCTCTTGTGTAGCAGTTTAGCTCCACTGTGGTCCTAGCATTTGTTAAAACATTGAGGAGCTTCCCTCCTGATGGGCAAATACAGCTTATCCCCTCCTAAATACAGACCTGACCTTTCCAGACCCTCCCAGGAACCTTGCCACAATCTTCTCTGAGTCAAGAGCTAAGGCCTGGCCCAGCAGGGGGTCTGCAGGCTGCTGCCTCACTGCCTCCGAATATAACCTCCCAGCTCTGGACACAACCATGCCTTACCTTCACTTCCTTTATGAAAAATAAAGTTGAGATGATCATCCAAGATACACTATGAGCTGGGGACAGTAGCACACACCTGTAATCTCAGTGACTCCAGAGGCTAAGGCAGGAGGATCTCAAGTTCAAAGCCAGCCTCAGCAATTTAGAGAGGCCCTAAACAACTCAAGACCCTGTATCAAAATAAAACACACACAAAGGTCTGGGGATGTGGCTCCATGATTAAATGCCCCTAGGTTCAATCCCTGGTACTAAAAAAAAAAAAAAAAAAAAAAAAAAAAAAGTTGCACTATGATTGTATTTATATAAATTACTCATCCCTAAGGACAAGGATAAAGTGGGAACAAAAACCTACAAAAGGTATATGTTAGAATATGTCATATGGAATTGCAGAGGTGTTAGGTGGAATTGCAGGCTATGTTTGTTGTTGTTGTTGTTGTTGTCTTGTTTTGGTTTTTCTTTTTTTGTTTTTGAGAGATAGCAGTGTCAAAACTCTGGGATGAGGCTGTCCAGGATGGAATTCCAGCTCTGCCCATGTGCACCTCAAATCTATAAATGGGAATAATCAGATTATCTGGTTGTTTTGAGCAGTAAATGTGTTCATGTTTGTAAAAGGCTTAACACAGGGTCTGGCACCAAGTAAGGACCATATTAGTGTTTATTAAATAAACAATTCATTTTATTTTGTCACTGTAATGTTTGTCCAATAAATTTAAAAACTAAGAACGTTTCACAACAGAAAGATAAAAAGCTTTTGACACTATGAAACAGTTACATAACATAAACTGTTGTTTCATTCCCAACACTAAAACATCTGGAATCCAGATTTTACACTGCACTGTGAATTCAGGGAGACCAATGCATTGGAATGCGATCCCATTGAAGCACAAAATGCGATTTGTATGAGTCCCTTTCTAAGCAGAAGTGTCACAACTTATGGGCTGCTAAGGTTGTATGTTTGTCATTTTAACCCTGCAACAATTTTTAACCACACCCAGGGAAATACATTGTGCTTTGTGGTGCTAAGACTTAAAGGGTTGTAAACGTTAAACCAGGCCTTACACAGCTACATCTTGTGAACACAATGACTCAGCCTAACTCCAAGTTTAAAGAGCCACATCTCATGTGCTGGGTCCTCCTGCAGGTCCAGGTGTTCAGGAAGCCCCTAAACCCAGAAACCAACTTGATCAAAATTGCTTTTATTTACTGAAAAAATACCACAACCTGAGTGTAAGCATAGCTTAGATAGGTACTACTGCACTGCTAAAGGAGACAAAACTACTGCATTATTGTTAGATATTCAGAGGAGGAACTATTAACAATCATTTGCTGGGTATGCGCCTATAATCTCAGCTACTTGGAAGGCTGAGGCAAGAGGATCACAAGTTGGAGGCCAACCTGGGTAACTCAGTGAGACAAGAAGGGTGGGGAATGTAGCTCCAAGGAGGGGTCAGGGTTAGGAAGACATACAGATAACTCCCTTCCCTGTTCTTATCTCTTAACTGCTAAACTTCAAAAATCTTTACACACAAATTTAAGTAGCTCCCAAATTAGCCCTCAAGTAGTCATGTATTAGACATTTGCTGATGGAGACAAGATTTATAAACACCATCTGGCTGTGGCTTTTTACCTCTCCTCTTTAAAAGCACATCTCCCCAAATTTATGAGAAGACTGGAGATGTAGCTCAGTAGTAGAGTGTTTGCCTACCATGCACAAGGCCCTGGGTTCAATCCTCGCTATCCCCAAAAAGGGGAAAATACATTTTGGGGTTGCATAAGGTTATGAAAAGAGACTCGCACCTTACTAAGTGAGAAAACTAAAGACTGCAAAGCAATCATTATCATTAAAATATTATTTAAAATGATATTAAAACCCTGTTGTGAGGGGAGCAATGCACATTTTTATAATCTCAGCTACTTAGTAGGCTGAGGCAGGAGGATCACAAATTTCAGGCCAGCCTGGGTAACTTAGCAAGACTCTCTCAGAATAAAAAGGCTGAGTATGGTAGCTCAGCGGTAGAATCCTCCTGGATTCAATCCTCAGTATCAAAGTGGGGAAAACCATTTTATGGATGGATGGTAGAAATGATAGCAAAATGACATGAAGGTATTTAATGCACTAAACATACACTTATAATGTTAAGAGAATAAATTCTATGTTAAATATTACCACAATAAAAGTAAGTTTAAAAAAACTTTAAAAAAAAATACCTGTAACAGTTAAAGGTAACCAAATGGTATAACCATAATTTTAAATTACTAAGTAATCAGAGACCACCTACCTGGTTATAAGCAAATCAATAAACCTAAATGAGCATTTTACAGCTCTTAACACTATGGTAAGTAAATATTCTAACAGAGACGACCATGGTAAAGACATTTCCTCAAAATCTTCACTACTCACGTTTTTATGTGGAAAGTTAATTGTACTGGATCTTAAGAAACCAGACTGGGAGTTTATGCAATTAGTTAAAAGGTCCCCAAACAACATTCAAAGCCTGCATACAAATTCAAGCCAAAAGGCTGTGTACAAATTCTCTTGTATGTGTGTCACAACACATTTAATACTGAAAAGAGATTCTTATTCAAATAGGCAATATGTAAATGTGGTATCTGTTAACAGTTCAAACTGAAGCAGATTCCCTTCATTCTTTAGTTTTCTTTGCAACACCATTAACTAGTCCACTTAACATACCTCAGAGGTCTCTGGGTACCTAGTTCTCCCCCACCCTTGGAGGATCCAAAAGGGTTTAGCTATACTGAAATTGGCAGGCCTGGCTGAGAAAGGTAACAGAATTCCCCATTCTGGGAGAGACACTCAAGGATGATCAAACACAGACTGTGGTCCTGAAGATTTTACTTGCATTTAGTGCTTCATGAAGGAAGTAAAGAAGATAATAATCTGAGATAAGAAGGCACAAACAGGAGTGGTGGTAGCTCTGGGGTATCAAGAAATCCTACAGAAGGCTTGGAGAACCTCATTCCTGGATCTGGGACCTAGGTACCAAATATCTTGAATTGAAGTGAAAAGAACAAGCCCCTAAACACAGGCCTTGGTCCTGGCCCCCATCCTCCCGCCCCACCTCTGCATCATCACATCACATTTTGGGCCCTGTGGCGAGCAGCTGTGTGGCCACGCGCCCAGGACCGTGCTTCAGGCGGGCTGGACTCTTAAGTCTTGGAACGCAGCACTTCCTGGTTGGTCGGGATGCTGGTGCCAGCGCGACCGCCATCCCTATCATCCCACAGCGCACGCGAACGGGAGGGCGCGCGACGTGACCGGGGGACACAGATACACTGCCTTGGTGTCCAGCCCCGCGGCAGCGGCG